CCATGGCGACCAAACTGCAAGGGGACTACCGGTCCGGGAAGAGAATCAACATGAAGAAGGTGATTCCGTACATTGCAAGCGGGTTCAAGCGGGATAAGATCTGGCTGAGGAGAACCCGCCCGGATAAGCGCAAATACCAGGTGGTTCTAGCTATTGATGACTCGAGAAGCATGTCGGAGGCACGGTGCGGGCATCTAGCGCTCGAAGCAATGGCCACGATTTGCCGAGCGATGGCGACGATCGAGGTTGGGGAGATCGGGGTCGTTGCTTTCGGCGAGCCGGGCAACGTGCGCATGCTGCATGAATTAGACCGGCCGTTTTCTCCTGAAGCAGCCGTGCAAGTCATCTCGCAATTCTCGTTCAAGCAGGACAACACGATTGCGGATGAGCCAATGGTGGAGCTGCTGCGGTTTCTGTCTGGGGCGCTGGATTCTGCTGCGATGAGATACTCTGCGAGTGCGGGCACGGGAGGAGGAGGACATCTGGAGCAGCTGGTGCTGATTGTGGCGGATGGGCGGTTCCATGAGAAGGTATGGTGTGGCATGTGGTGTGGCATGTGGTGTGGCATGTGGTGTGGCATGTGGTGTGGCATGTGGTGTGGCATGTGGTATGGCATGTGGTGTGGCATGTGGTGTGGCATGCGGTATGGCACGATGCACATGGCATGGCACATGACATGGCGCAACTCTGTCCCGCTCCATCCCCCTCCATCCCTTGCGTGGAACCATCTCCCACAACACCCACAACCTCATTGCTTCTCCAACACGCATTCCACTCCCTCCCTGCCTTGCCCAAACCCCCCTGTGCGTCCACCGCGCCAGGAGACCCTAAGGCGCACAGTGCGGCATGCCATGGGCAAGGGGCAGCTGCTGGCCTTCATTCTGCTGGACAGCCCTTCTGAATCCATCCTTGACATGCAGGTATGCGCACTCTCACAAAATCTCAATCACCTGCAGCCGCCCAAAACCCAAAACCTGCCCAAAACCCGACAACCAAGAATGCCCTACTTTTTTTCCCTTTTTTTTTTTCACCGAGAAAGCCTGCATTGTCTGCTTCTCCCGTACACAATGAACTCTCAGTACTATCAACCCTTTTATCCCATGTCTTGGCCCCAACCAACAGCTGAAGTCTGCTCAGGTACCAACCGCTACAGCAACACACTCTCCCTCCGTTTCCTCAACCCTTCTATCCCCTGTCTTGGCCCCATTCCTCCCTGTCCTCTCTCGTACCTCTCCTGCAGTCCGTGTCATTCTCAGGCGGGGTCCCAGCCTTCTCTCAACCTACCTGAACTGACTTTGAGATTCATACAAGCCATATCCCGTTTCTCCCTGCCCTCTCCTGCACCCCTCCTGCAGTCCGTGTCATTCTCAGACGGGGTGCCAGCCTTCTCAAGCTACCTGGACTCCTTCCCCTTCCCCTACTACATCCTTCTGAGGGACATCCACGCGCTCCCTCGCACGCTGGCAGGCCTGCTTAGACAGGTATGGCATGGGGAATGCTGGCATGGGGCTGAAGAGGTGACTTTATCAGTGATAGGGATGGCATAGATTGATGTACTGTTTGGTTGGACACTGATCTCGAGATTCATACTTTGCCTCTCTATATGCTGTACCACCGGCTCCTTATCCCTGATTCCCATCCCTTTGTGTCTGTGTCGTCTCCCTCTCCCTAACTGCCCTCCCTGTGTGTCCGCTCCCTGTTTCTCTCTGTTGCAGTGGCTTGAGTTCGCTAGAAGCAGAGGGCAGTAAGCATCAGCTTTCGATGCAACATACAGTACAGTGCATCGACTCAATCCGCTGGCTGATTGGAACATATAACTTTGGAAGTTGACCTTAGTTTATTGTTCTGGTTCTCGGTGTGATGTGAACCGCTTAGTATACTTGCCGTTCTCATTCTTGGATTTGTCAGATCACCTGAATTCATATTGTGTACGTTGTCACATAGTGCTGACAGCAATGGTACCTGGTGAACAGCATACAGGTTAACCATTGGTACCTAGTACAACACACCACTCAGATACACATTCGTGAGCTGCTAGTGACAAAGACTCAAAGAAAAACATAAAATTGACTCCAAACAAACACACATAGAACACATTTCTCACGACTTGACATGGAAAATCAGGGGTAGGAAGACTGGCAAGTCAGCTGGTGGTGTCCCCGGATGCCTTGCCTTGCCAGCATTCCTGCACCAGATGCTCTAATTTGACCTATTTTAGCTACTCACATGGCTGAGAGGCCCACAAGCCCCTCACAACCATGCCTGCAGCAAGAAACCCCCGGCTGCAACAGCAACACCTTGCATGCGCGTGTTCACCGTGGAAACACCAAGCTGACGCCACTGGTATCCCCAAAGCAGTGATGAATCAAGCAGCAGCAAGTTCTGCCTGCATCAGGCTGGATTCGAATCCCCAAACCCTGTCAGCCATCGCCGTATCACATAGCAGCAACAGCAGCAGGCGGAGCAGGACGGCAGTTAAGCATTAAACAGCAGCAGCGGGCATTTTGGCCCCCATGAGCTGTCCGCCCCATGTCACACCTGCTGCGCTGCTGCCCGCCAGCACAGCATACCCGCTCACTGTGATGTTCACTCCGCCATCACCACCTGAAAATCCACCTGCGGGCGGCTGCTGCGCTCCCCCTTGCTGCTTTCCCCCCTGATTCTGTCCCCCCTGCCTAGCAGCGCGGCCCACTGCGCGCATCAGCAGCTCCCGCCCCATGCGCCTCCCACCCTGTCCGCTCCGCGCGCCCCCCGCGCTGCCTCCGCCGTTGCGCCCGCCGCCACTCGTGCGCGGAAGCGAGGCGTTGGGGAGCACCGCGAGCAGCGCGTCGAGAGTGGCGGCGTCCGCGTTCTCGAGGAACGCGTCGAGGCGCGCCTCCGCGTGCAGCAGCCACCACCCCGCGCGCTGCTGCCAGTCCGCCGCGGCGAGCGGCAGCGCGAGGACGTCCGTCGCGGCGGCGTCGCACACGGCGCCCTTCACGATCGCGAGCGAGTCGGGCGGACTGCCCGCCGCGTCGACCAGGAGCGCCTGGACGAGGAGGTTGTAATTGCCGGTGGCGTTCCTGGTGAGGGGCGCGGGGACGAAGGGGAGGGGAAGTGGAGAGGGGAGGAAAAGTGGGGAGGGGAGGAAAAGTGGGGAGGGGAGGAAAAGTGGGGAGGGGAGGGGAGGGAGCAAGACGCAATGAGCTCGAGGATCAGAAGATGCCGAGTGCCGCACATTTTAATCTAGGAAGTCAAGTGGGAGGGTTCGTGCGGAAGCCAATCCTACTATACTAACTCCGCCGACTAGCGACTGAGAACGGATGAGGGAAGCGCACAGGGAATTTAGGGTTTCCTCGCGTGAAATGCGACACAAAATAAAGCACCGGAGCCTACTTGAAGATGGCGAGGTGGAAGCGGCCGTCAACGATCGTCTGGTCCGCGGAGCAGTTGGCCAATTGCGCGCCAACATCGGCCGTCAGATTCCCGACGGCCGTCAGGTTCAGCGGAAACCCGTGCGGCGGCTTCCCGCCAGGCCCTCCAGGACTGCTGGGACCACCGGGACCGCCGGAACTGGCGCCAGGGCCTCCGCGCGCGCCCCCACGTCCCTGACCGCCGGGAGGACCTCCGCCAGGCGGACCACGCTGCGCCAAGGCGGATGCCGACACAAGGAGGAGGATGCACGCGAGGAAGAGTGCTCTAAATGCCATGGCTGATGTCGTGCTGCGATCGACGAAGTGTCGGGAGATGGTTTCCTGCTGTTCTCGCTGCTCTGGTTTGCGGCCTGGAGCTTGGGTGAAGAAGAACGTGTAGGATGAAATGGAAGGTTGTGGGTGAGTGACTGAAACGCCAGGAGAGCTGGTTACTTTTATAGGCAAGGCGAGGTGAGTCAAACTCAGGCGTTATATTTTGGTGGAACACGCGAGACGCGAGTCTAAGCCGCGAAAGGCTTGGGCTTCAGGTTTGGAAACCTTCAAAGCCGTGGTTTGATTGAGTAATCGCAGAGCTTCGAGTCAACCAGACCATTTAGGAAGGCTCGTTCGTACCGAGAGTTGAAAATGTGCGACGTGATTCAACGCGTCAATCCGCGCAAATGGAAAGGCAGGCATTTACCATTGGGTTGGCATATGAGCTTGTGCAATTCTATGGTTTCTGTACAATATGAATCGTAGATTTGTCTTAATACAATGGTTACTCACCATCCTCTGCCACATGTTTGAATTGATGTTACTGGTTGAACACACTATGTTACTTTGTGTTACTTAACAAGATAATTATATAACGAGGAAGGGCCTTCACATCACTTCGTACTACAAATCAAGCACACAACAAATCCGCCGACAATCAGCTCCGGTCAATCATGGCAATCTACTATCCCCCACCGCATCATCCCTCGCCTCTTCACCTCCTGCTGGTGGACGCATACGCAGTGGCAGTATGCGTGTCATCATCCCCCCTGCGGCCACTCCCACTGCTCCCTGCACTGTCAGTCCTGGGCCAAGGATTAGGAGCCCTTGGGCCCTCATAACCACGCTGCTGGTACTGCTGATGGGGAGGAGCTGTGGGTCTCCTGCGGCCGAACAGGTACCCCAGACCAAAGCCCGTGGCTGCCGAGGCCCATGTGGGCACCGGCTGAGGGGGTGGCGGGGCCGTTGCACCATAGCTGACATACAGGGTGGAGGCAGGGGGGCGGGGAGCAGGGTTGGGTGGGGAGGGAGGACAATGGGAGGACGAAATGAGGAGCAAGTTGAGAAAGGAAAGAAAAAAGAGGTCGTTGTAAGAACAGGAGAGGAGCATATACAGAAATTTGAGAGAGGAAGGAACCAGAGAGGTATGTTATGAGAGGAAAGTTTTTTAAGTCGACTCAAAAGAGGAAGGAACCAGAGAGGCGTGTTATGAGAGGAAAGGAGAGGAGGGAAAGTTGGGATGCTGCATAAAGATCAGCAGAACGAAACCCATATACCGTACAAAGCCTACCAAACACGGTAACAATTCCAGCGCACCCAGCCAATCTACCAACTTGGCTGTGAGACTGAGCTCTCGCGCTGGGGTCTCGTCTCATACAGACCCCACCCACCCAGTCTAGCAACTCACCCTGTGGAACCTTTCGGGCCTCCCCAAAAATCGTCGGATCCGGGTGGTGGGGGAGGAGGGGGGGACGGAGGAGGAGGTGGGTAGTACCCTCCTGCTTGGCCTGTTGCTGGTCCTCCACCTGCTCATGTGGGCACACACGGGAGAGCCAGGTGGGATGCGATAAGAGAAAAGCAGTGAGAGGAGCTCATTAACAGATTTTGGGGAGTGGGACCCCAGGGTTGAAGGGTTTAAGGAAAAGGAAGGCTTGTAGCAGAAGGCTGTAAGAGGTGCGTGGTGGAGCTTATGAAAGGGGTGTAAGCAAGGTGCCATCTAAAACGTCTCAAAACGTCTGTTTCACTCTCGGGGAAAAAGGGCTGGGTGGTTCAGCTCACCGGATGGGCGTGAGGTGCCACAGCAGCAGGAGCGCAGAGCGAGAATGGCGATGTAGGTGATGATTGCCCATGTCAGCAGTCGACCCAGCCACGACCCCTCCTCACGCTGCGGCTGCTGCTGGTGGTGCTGCTGGTGAAAGTGCTGCTTCTTTTGTTGCTGTAAACGTAGAGGGGTGGGGGGAAGGGGGGATGGGGAGACCGCACAATGTGAGGAGTCACGCAGTAAGAGAGAACAGAAAAGAGCACAGGGCTAGAAAAATTAGGTAATAAGGAGTGTTCTCTTGTGGTACAAAGGTGGGATCGAAACAGGCAGAAGCGTGAATAGTGTATAGCATTTCGATTCGAAAGATTGGAAGAAATTACCTTGAACCACCCCTTGTTCTTTTCCTTCTTCTGAAATCCTGAAATGAGAGACGTATGATGGGGGTTTACAGAACGGGCGCACACGATGAGCAGGGATGATGTGACCAGGAAAAGTGAAGGGGAAAACAAAAATGCGCCAGTTTCTTGCATCTTTAGCAAAAACTGCAGACGCCCCAGTCATGACGACAGAAAGTGAAAGAACACCGGAAACAGTGGTGATGAAGAGAAAAAAAAAGGTTGAAACAAATGAACAGGCAATGTGTTATCGGCGGCACGGGGCACCGGGGGGTAGGGAGAGAAGGCGGAACAAAGGGATGCGAACAATGACATAAAAGAGGTTTGCGTATATTTGACTTTTGTCTGCTTGAAGCATTTAAAGGCTAGAATTGTGTGTACCTGGCACGGGCACAAGGGAGTACTGCAGGCCACAGCTGCCATAGAGGATGCGCGGGTCATCTGGGTAATCAAAGCCCTGAAGGATGCGGAGTTGGGAGGGGGGAAGGAAGTAGGGAGAGGGAAGGGGGAGTTGGGGGGGGGGTATAAAGGAGAGCAAAGAGAAAGTAGGGGAAAAGAAAAACCCAGAGGTGGGAAACAACAGAGCCAATTACACAGGCAACAGAGGCGTGCAGCAGGAATGATTGGAAAATGACACAACAGGGAACCTTTCAGTGCTTCACTGTCATTTTATGAGAAAGGACAACGCTGGTTCTGCACTTGTGGCATCCCCATACATACACGATACACCAGTGTTGCTGTCTCGCTTACATCTCAGCTCACATCTCAGCTCAGCAGGCAGCCTTTTCACACCACTATCACACTGCTCTATCAAGACACGTTCAGACTGAACCACGAGTGAGAAAAGGCAACGAAATGCGACCAAGCGAACGAGTGAACACCAGGAGGAACCCAAGTGAAAGCCACGTGGGAGGGTGGGTGGGTGGACGGGAGGAGGGCGGAGGCGCATACCTCGCGGGAGACTTGCGTGAGGCCAAACTGCAGGTGCGATGGAAGCTCTGCCTCGCAGCGGATGAGAAATGCGCGAGATGCGCTAGGGGCGCGGAGGGGGGTGGAGGGGCATGCATACCTCGCAGGAGACTTGCGTGAGACCGAACTGCAGGTGCGATGGCAGCTCTGCCTCGCAGCGCCACTGCACCGCCACTCCATCCGACCCCACGTTCACACACTGCACCACGTCTGCGGGGAGAAGAGGAGAAGGGGGGTTGGAAGGGGGGGGGGGGGGGGGGAGGGGAGGGAGGAGGAGGGGGGGAAGAGGAGCGGGGGAAGGGGGGAGGAGTTTCGGGGTGCCTCAATAGTCCTCTCCGTCAGGTTCCACGTTCACACACTGCACCACGTCGGCGGCGCGCGGAAGAGGGAGGTGGGGGTGAAGGGGGAGGAGGGGTGAGGGACATGGGGGTGGAGGTGAGTGAGGGGGAGGTGGTGATGAAAGGGGGGCAGCGAAATTTAGCGGCGGAAACATAGTAGAAAAACCGTCTCTGAAACCAGACTGTTGGGAAGAATAACCGTCGGAAAACAGTAGAAACCACACACAAAGAACATTGAAGTTACCTGGTTGGAAATCGCATCCGGAGAGACAGCTAAGCTGCGGCACAGCAGCCACACGACGCGCTGTCGTCATCGCTCCCTTCCTCAACGTCAGCGCTTTCACGTCCTCCAACAGCACCGCTCTATACCCACCCGCACCCTGCTGCTGCTGCTGATAATACTGCTGCTGCTGTCCGTATTGATGCTGCTGGTGCTGCTGATAGTCGTACGCGAACGCGGGGGATGCGTAGCCGAGGAGGAGCAGCAGCACCCCTGCGATAAGCCATGCTGATTTCCAATAGATCTCTTCTTCGCTATGGATCCATGGAGCGAGAAAACGGCGCGGTGAGCGGGAAAACGATAATGACACGTAAATCGACGCCATTCGAGATTCGAAAGATCACACAGCAAGGATCACAGCAAACTTGATGACACTGATTCGGAGAACAACAAAATTCCTTGGCTTCGTAATTCTGAACAACATGGACATTACATAAGGACGGATCACAAGCGCGATCTGTGCAATGCACCACCTTAAACCGCGACTCACCTCTTTGGACAGTTAGCGTGCAACTGTGACCTGCAACTCCGTTTCCTTACGACTTCCTCAAATTCGCCAAGCACACGCAAGCCCCAGCCGAAAATTGCCACGTGGTATCGCGTGGCTGGTTGGAAATGTGAGCTCGACGTGGATACGAGGCTTTTTGTGACAAGCACCCAGCCACCTTCGCGGAGACCCCACGGCCCAGCTGACAGCCAAGCGAGGAGTGCGACAGAGGCATCCGAACCTGGTTACAGTTACGAAGAGTCCCAAAAAATATGCCGTCGTGTTAATTTATTTTGCTGTACACCTGTGGAGCTTATGGTGCCGTAGTAGAGGCATTTACATAAAAAGTTTCCGAAAATAAAGCCAACAGCTTAATATTTCAGCCAATGGTTAAGGCGTTCCCCACATTCCCATCTAAAGCCCCAAATCAGATGTATTGCTTAGTCCTAAACTAGGAGCACAACCTTGGAGAAATTAGGGCAAATGGCATCGAGTGTACTCCCATGTTGCAATTGCAGCACTAACGTGGACGTTGAGGGAGCGAATGAGACCGAGTTGAGGGATCTCCACACAGACATCCAAGAGCCGGATGAGATCAGCTGGCACGCCCTCTTTCTCCCGCCCAAGTAGAAGCACCTAACAGACACAAAACATGCACACTTTGCATCAAGACTAACATAACGGACCATATTCAAGACTTGTAATGGAGACAAGACTAGAAGAGAAGACAGCTAACTGTTCTCGATAAGCACATGTTGCTCACCGTTTTTGCAGGGAAGTTGTAGGTATGAATGGGCACACTGTTTGCTGTCTGCTCCAGTGCCACCAGAGTGTACCCCTGGGCTCGTTGCTGCTCCAAGTAGCTTGCCAGTGCTTGTATCGGAACCTCTTCTAATGGAACCCACTTCTCCGCTGTGACACTGCACCGCAAGAGAAACAGGACGATAAATGGAACAGGGGGGAGTCGGGGTTAAGGTGTTAAGGTTTACAAGAGGAGTCGAAAAAAGTTAGTGACACCACACATCAAGACACAAATTATGAGGACAAAAAGTGATGCGAGATACGACATGGGAGTTGGGTTGGTTATTGCACAGCAATCGGCATAGCACAAGGCAAAAGGCACATGGCGCTCACATTCTTTAGAACTCTCAAAGGCGTGCTGTGCATGTGGCATGGCACGTGGCAGAGCAGGGGGCACGTCCACTCACCTGATGAGAGCTGGCATGGAGAATCAGACGACTGGCCTTGACTACATTTGAGAGGTTCATTCAAACACAGTCAGAGCAGGAGTCATGCCTTGCCAGATCATGCCTCATCAGGTTATGCCTAAACCCATCACGCCTATTTACCCGACGAGCTGGAAATGCCTGTCATTCGCCAGTGACGTGTCCTGGTCCCTGGAGGACCAGGCGGTTGGCCTTCCTAGAACCCTCCAAGTACACCTTCTGAGTTGATTCAAGTCAAGATACAGCAGGGGGCATTGCCCCACCCACCTGATGAGCTGGAACTGCCTGTCATTCACCACCGATGTGTCCTGGAGGACCAGACGGTTGGCCTTGAAAACCTGCCAGGGGGGTTGAGGTGTGGGGAGCAAGGTAAGAAAAAACGTCGTTTTTTGTTTTTGTTTCTTGTTTTTTGTTTTTTGTTTTTTTTTTATTATTATTATTACAGTAAAAAACGACCGTAAAAAAACCGTAAAAAACGGTTCCAGAAGGTGGTTTCATTTGAAGAAAAAATCGGTCATTTATGGGACCAAATTGATGGTGAACATCACCAGCATGAAGAGGACCAACCCCTCCTTGCATGAGTGCGCTTGTGGGCATGATTGAAAATGTATTCGACCTTGTTTTTCCCTTTTTTTTCTGGTGACAACAATTCTCTAAAAAAAAAAACGTTTTTTTTTTTTTTGGAAAATTACTGTAAAAAACGGACCGTTTATTACGAAAACCGTATTTTTGAACCTTGGTGGGGAGAGGGACATGGAACATGGGGCATGGGGTGAGAGCAATGGGGCACGTGGAATGGGGTGAGGGATGATGGTGAAGGAACAGAGGGCCTGATTTTGTCAAATGTTTCTCAGAGGTTTAAAATCTACCACACATCGGGAATTCCTGCTACAATCACAGGAAAAGCTGGCTTTGCAGCTAGGGTTATTTGCTCCAGAAAAAAAGTTCCGGCAAAAAACCATTGTACAAGACTTTCTTTGAACAGCCTGCATCAGCAACACTCGTTACACACACCGGCAGGCCCAGTGAGGTTTGGGAGGATGCGCCAATGCACGCCAACGCAAGCCAATGCACGCCAATGCACGCCAACGCAAGCCAATGCACGCCAATGCATGCCAATGCACGCCAATGCACGCCAATGCACGCCAACGCAAGCCAACGCACGCCAATGCACGCCAATGCACGCCAATGCACGCCAATGCACGCCAATCCATGCCAATGCACGCCAATGCACGCCAATGCACGCCAATGCACGCCAATGCACGCCCAACCACGCCAAACCACGCCAAACCACGCCAAACCACGCCAATGCGCGCCAATGCGCGCCAATGCGCGCCAATGCACGCCAATGCACGCCAATGCACGCCCAACCACGCCAAACCACGCCAAACCACGCCAAACCACGCCAATGCGCGCCAATGCGCGCCAATGCACGCCAATGCACGCCAATGGGCCATCGGCCCAGCGACGAGATGTGCCAGGGTCCGCACCACAATGCCGTACCTGCCGTGTGCGTGACCACAATCCCACCACACTTGCGTTCTGACCCCTACAGCCGCCCGCACCGCACCACAATGTCGTCCCCGTGAGCGCGCCTCCACAACAATGGCATCACGGCACGGCACGACTCAGAAGCGCACCTCAGACGTCCGAGCAAGCCCGGAAAGGTTGGGAATGCGGCCAATGAGAGACGCCACGCCAAGACGATGATGTCCTGGTGGGTGCCTATGGCCTTTTGCAGCAACCTATCTGTGAGGCACCTTGGCAAATACACACCTCCTGAGCCAAGAACACACACCTCGCATGTGCGAGCAAGCCCGGCAAGGTTGGGGATGCGGCCGATAAGAGACGTGACAACAATGATGTCCTGCCGGGTGCCTGTGCTTGTGGGGGCCTGCAGCAACCTATCTGTGAGGCGCCTCAGCAAATACACGAGTCAGGACGCACCTCGCACGTGCGGGCAAGCCCGGCAAGGTTGGGGATGCGGCCGATAAGAGACGCGACAACGATGATGTCCTGGCGGGTGCCTGTGGCCGCCTGCAGTAGCCCCTCCCTGCCCTCCACGTGGCCTCGCAGCAGTGCTTCTTCCTGTGCCTCCTCGCCCTGCTGCTGCTCTGACTCCCACCGCATGCGTAGAGCTGTGTGGGGCGTAGGGGAGTTGGGTTGGGTTGGGTGTGGTGTGGGTGGGAGGAATTAGAGTAAGAGACGAGAGGGTAACTGTTCTGGATAGAAGCCAGCAAGCACATTCCTCCGCCTCCTTGCTCTGTTGCAGCTCTGACTCCCACCGTATGCGTGATGCTGTGGGGAGAGCCGTGATGAGGGTAGTTGTGTCAGTGCAGGGGCGGGTGTGAGTATGGGTGTGTTTTTTGATGCGCCTAAAAAATCGTCTCAGTTCACGCGGTTTTGATTTGAGGCGCCTAAAAAAAGGTAGTTGTGTCAGTGCAGGGGCGGGTGTAAGTATGGGTGTGGGTGGTGCTGTAGGTCTGAGAACGATGAGCAAGAAAAGCAGCCGGCAGCAAATTCACCTGGTTTACCTGGGGTAGTTCTTTCTGCTGCATGAAAGAAACCTCACCCTCCCTGCATGCAGCACCAGCCCCACCTGGTTCACTTGGGGTAGTTCTTTCTTTCTACTTCTTTCAAGCAGTCACCTTGGAGCAGAGCAGCTTGAGGCTCCACTCCTGGTCTTTGTTGTAGCTGCTGCTGCTGCTGCTGCTGCTGCTGCTGCTGCTGCTGCGGTCCCGCCCCTCCCTGCCCTGCATCCAACACCCTCTTCTTCCTCTGGAAGTCTGCCTGTCCTCCTGCCCCTCCTCCTGCTCCTGCTGCTGATCTCTGTACACCTCCTCGCCCATCCACATCATCACCTCCTCCTCTTCCTCCTCCCCCCTCATCAACCCCTGTCTCTCCTTCCTCGCCCCCACCTCCTGCCACGGCGCCAGTACCTCCAAGCCCAAGCGCTGCTGCGTCTGCTGCCATGGCCGCTCGTAGCGAATCCCGAGCGAACTGCACAATGCCCATGCGGAGAGGCGATGAGGGTGCAACGACGTGGTTAGCGTGGACGGTGGAGATGGCTTGGGAAGTAGGGAGAGGCTTGGATGTGGGACGTCTCAGAACTAGGATTTGAGTGCAGCATTTTCAAATGAGATAAGTGATGATGAAGAATGGGGGATGAGAAGCATAGAGGAAAAGAGAAAAAAGCTGCAATCACGCACAGAAATGGAGGACTATGGAACACTAGGGAAGCAGCATAAGAGCACAATAACCGAATAACAGAAGACTGAAGAAACAAAAGAGTGGAGGATGAACAGAAAAAAAGGACTGCGGGTATAACAGGAAACAGATGACTTCATGGAGGAGATTGGCAGCTCACGTTGAGGAAGGCGGTGACGCGGTCCAGAACAGCGGTGGGTGCACACTCAAAGGGATGAGATCCAGCAACCTGATCAAAGCACACACATGCCATGCAGGGAGGTGCAGGTGCAATGGGATGCAGTGCATACAGCTCTTCAACTCATGTGCTACAGCAATTTATCACTCGCACCCTCAGACCAAGACCTCAACCCTCCACCTATCCGCATCTACCGATACCCTCCTAGAATACTGGTAACATTAAAGCAGTACTTCAATAGCCTATCTACACGCACAGCAGCATAGCAGATTCTCCCGCAAACCCTACACCAAACACCTGCTTACCTCCGCTGCTGTCCTCCCGAGGAGCGCCTGCCGGGTATCGAAGAAGGAGCGCAGGAACATGCCCCGGGGCGTGGCTGCTGCTTCGGGGTCAAATGTGTCAAAGTAACGATCAACCGCCACACGTACTCTGATAATTGGGAGGAGTGGAAGGATGGCAAAAAGCAGAGGTTGGAGGACTTTTGTTCTTCTTGTTTTTTCAATTGATTTGCTTGTTCTCCCATTCAGCAGCTTTGCCAAACTGTTTCAAGAAACCAAAGAATAGCAATTCTGACCAAAAGTGCATAGTTCCTGTCCCATTGCTTTGGAGTGTACAACTGTACATGCACTCTGCTTCAGCCCGCAGCAACCCTAAAACTACAATTCATCCATGCAATAATATGGACTGGCAAACACGGAGAGTGTGGAATGAGTGTAGAATGAGTGTGAAATGAAGAACGAGTGCAGAATGAGTGAACAACGAGGGTAGAATGAGTGAACAATGAGTGTGGTGTGGGAAAAAAAGTGGCAGGTTGAATAAGAGGTTGTAACTGCAACGCACCGAGCGCAATCCGTGTTGGTGTTGAGATATGTCCATATGGCTTGGAACACCTTGCTGCCGCTGACAATGCTGGACGACGGAACCTCAGAAACATCCACCATACCGCTGCCTCCCTCATTTGAACCACTCTGCATCCCACCGCCGCCACTGCCCGCACTGCCGCTGCCACTGCTGCGGTCTGCGTTGCCACCGCCGCTACCTGTAAGCTGCGGAAAGCGCCTAAGAACACGGTGCAGCAGCACCTGGGTGAAGGTGCGCAAGTTGTGGTGGTGACTGGTGACGTAGGGAAGAGTGGCAGGCAGCAGCTGGTGCAGGTGCAGCAGCTGTAGTGAGGGGTCCTTGGTGTGGAGGATGAGGCAGGCTGCGATGAGCACGTATGATGCTTGTGCCTGTGTTGGGTGATGGGGAATGGGGAATAGGGCGTTAAGAGGAGCAGGTGAAAGGGTTTTTGAGGCGCCTCAATAAGCGGCAGTAGCTGGTGCAGGCGTAGCAGCAGCAGGGAGGGGTCTTTGGTGTGGAGGATGAGGCAGGCTGCAATGAGCACGTATGATGCTTGTGCCTGAATGGAGTCATGGGGAATGGGGCGTTGGAAGGAGAGGGGGCGAGTTAGGGGGGGAGAAGAAAGGGGGGAAGAAATAGGGAGAGAGTGAGTGCAAGGGCGTAAAAGGATTCATGTGGGATGAGAGAGACAGGGACCTATAGTGCCTGTGCCCAATGACAGCGGAAGCAACAAAGAGGAAGGCAAGACCGCAGTATCATGAGGAAAGGCAGGGATCAAGAGATTGGGAGTGGAGGTTGGGAGTGGAGGACTAGGAAGAACGCTCTGAGAGTAAGTGGTTGCGATTGAGTGAATGGGAGGGGAGGAGGGGTGGATGGTATGGTATGGTATGGTATGGTATGGTATGGTATGGTATGGTATGGTATGGTATGGTATGGTATGGTATGGTATGGTAGGGTAGGGTAGGGTACTAGGGTATGGTATGGTATGGTATGGTATGGTATGGTATGGTATGGTATGGTATGGTATGGTATGGTATGGTATGGTATGGTATGGTATGGTATGGTATGGTATGGTAGGGTATGGTATGGTATGGTATGGTATGGTATGGTATGGTATGGTATGGTATGGTATGGTATGGTATGGTATGGTATGGTATGGTAGGGTAGGGTAGGGTAGGGTATGGTATGGTATGGTATGGTATGGTATGGTATGGTATGGTATGGTATGGTATGGTATGGTATGGTATGGTATGGTATGGTATGGTCTGGCATGGTATGGTATGGTATGGTATGGTACGGTACGGTACGGTATGGTATGGTACCTGTGTTTTAAGGTTGGCGTTTTGGAGATGGTTCAATACATGTGTCTCCACCTGTGCAGGGGAGTGGGTGGAAAACAAAGAAGTATTCTTGCATGTTTTCTCCGAGCATGTGCGTTCGTGCGTGCGTGTGGGTGTGTGTGGGTTTGTGGGTGTGTGTGCGCGTGAGTGTGTGTGTGTGTGTGTGTGTGTGTGTGCGTGCGTGCGTATGTGTGAGTGTGCGTGTGTGTGTGTGTGAGTGTGTATGTGTGAGTGTGTGTGTGTGCGTGCGTGCGTGCGTGCGTGCGTGCGTGCGTGCGTGCGTGCGTGCGTGCATGCATGTATGGGTATGTGTGTCTCTGTGTCTCTGTGGATAAAGAATGGAGAGGGCGAGAGCAGCATACCAGGTGGGGGAAGCGGAGGAACATGAGGACACCGAATATCTCCACGTACTGCCGCACTGACGGCATGTTGTTGCGCTGCCGTGCCATGCACGTGTGCGGTAGAGGCGACACATGAGGGGAGGGGAAGGGAACAGAAGGGGGAAGCGGAGGAACATGAGGACGCCAAATATCTCCACATAATGTCGCACTGATGGCATGTTGTTGCGCTGCCGTGCCGTGCACGCACGGTACCAGCGGGAAAGGTTGGGGCGGGGAAGGGGGGGAGGTGGCACGGAAGAGAGGAGGGAGGTAGGTGGGGAATGAGCACGCCAGGAGAGGCAGCAGGGAGAGTGGGAAAGAAGCATTCAGCGTGTGTCACTTTTAGGAATTCTCAAAAACGGGCCGATGGATAGTTGAGTGCAAGTTTACTTGCCGAGAGAACAGGCCGATATGTGGCCAGGTGGGATGGAGGAGGAAGGTGAGGGGTGAGGCTGGAGGGTGAGAGGACTAGGTGGAAGAGGAGGCGGAGACAGACCAAGAGGAGGTGGAACCGAGCGGGCCTGCATGAATGCAATTCTGGAGTACTGCCATAAAGAACAGGACCGATACATTACAGACGATGTGTGAGGCGCCTTAGATAATACAGAAAAACCGCACGCATGCATGCACACACGCACGCACGCACCTCTAGAGCCCGGCTGTAGAGGGTAGTGACAGACGGCAGCATTTCATGCGATATGAACGGAGAGAGCAGCGCGAGCATCTGCCACACGCGGATCTTCCTCCTGTGAATCTGAGACCAGCAAGGTGAGGAGGAGGGGAGGGGGAAAGAGGGAGAGGAGAGAGACAGACTATGTTTGTGAAGTAGACACGGGTGTTGTTGCCAAAGATTTCGACTTGAAAAGCAACAAGGAGAGGCACGACATTCTGCGATGACACAGCTTGTGTATCTGGATGCGGCCCGATGAAAAACAATGAATATACATGAGTTTTGCACGCATGCATAGGCACCACCACACCACCCTCAATCCACCACCACTCTCCAACCAGCACCACGTTCAACTCAGAAGTGATTCCGAACACCAAACCACCCTCTAGCCACCGCCATCCGCTCTCCACCACCCGCTCACCGCACTGTGCTTCTTGTAGAGTTCCTTGGACAACACCTGATCCGTCACCTGATGGTCAGGGCGCAACAGAGAGAGAGGTCAGCCAGCGAGCTTCACCGTAAAAAAGCGGGTGTTTGGACCTCTTGACCTCTTGACCTCTCGACCTCTCGACCTCTCGACCTCTCGACCTCTCGACCTCTCGACCTCTCGCCCTCTCGCCCTCACGCCCTCTCGACCCAATCCAAGGAAAAGGCAGGAACGGTCTCAACAGGAGAGAGAGTCTGAAGCTGCTCTTCAAAAGGGTGTAAATCCATACAGAAGATTTTGGGTGCCCCATTTCACGTGTATTGAGAGCAATGCTTGTACAACGAGCTGGGACCCGAAGAGAGAAGAGACAAGGCATGACACCCGAGTCTAAGGGTGAGAGGGGTATGTGTGTGGTGTGAGAGGGGGCGGGGAAGCGTACAGCAGATTCGAGGAGAAGCATGAGAAGCTGCTGACAGCTGCGGATGGCATAATTCTTGTCAGAAGAAGTTGCAGAAGCCGACGTGGCAGGTGCAGGTCGAGTGGCAGAAGCAGCAGAAGTAGCAGCAGGAGGGAGGTAGAGAGATGCAAAGTGGTGAGCCATGATGGCAACACACACTCGAGCGAACATCTCAGAGTTGGTGAACACCTGAGGTGACGCTCGGGGGGGTGCGGGGGAAGAGTAGGAGGCGGGGTACAAGGGGTGGATTCGTTGCGAATGGCAAATGGCAATGGCAGAGTTGAGCAGCCTGTGGCACGCGTGTATGCATGCATACACGCACCCATATGCGCATGTGCAGACACTGAGAGGCATGCAAGTGCACATGTGCACATGGAAGCGCAGCGTTGCTTGCAAGTGCTCTGTCCAACGTTCTCAGCTAGAAACAAGGTGCGTCAGAGACAAGGTGGCATCATGCTTTTGAGGCGTGTGACAACTCACATGTGCAAGCTCGGTGTCATGGCTCCTGGCGAGGTGGCAGTACTCGTGCTTTTGGGGAGCGTCAGAGATAACATCATGCTACTAAGGAGCGTCAGAGAAAACATCATGCTATTAAGGAGCGTCAGAGATAAACATCATGCTTTGAAGGAGCATCAGAACTAAGCATGGGCATTTGACCCGACCCGGCCCGACCCGTCCCGTTGAGGGCGACCCGTTAGCTTAACGGGTCGGGTCGGGTCGGGTTAGCGGGTCGGGTTTGACTCTGTTTTGGTGACCCGACCCGCCCCGTGGGAACGGGTATTTGTGACCCGTTACCGGGTCGGTTACACCACGGGTTGGGTCGGGTCGGATCAAAATATGCTACATAGCAGCAGGGTCGGGTCGGAGCGCCAAACCCTAACCTGAAGATAATATGCAGTTTAAATAGTGCTAACATTGAAGAGTGAAGACTGTATGAGGCTCCCTAGCTGCAGCGCAGAAGTACTAGCCTTGATCTAGTCTAGCGACTAGATCAGAATGTCGAGGGAAAAAAAAACCTAAAAAACCAACCGATGTTCAACCCCTACCCTAATCCGAAAACGGGTCGGGTAACCCTGTCATTTGACTGGGTACGCGACCCGGACGGGACGGGTCAACCCGACCCGGCGGGTCGCAAAAACCCGTCACTAAATCACAGTGACGGGTCACGGGTCGACCCGACCCGTCCGGGTTTTCCCGACCCGACCCGCCCGGGTCGGGTCGGGTTACCCGACCTGTCCGGGTCAAATGCCCATGCTTAATCAGAACAACTCACGTGTGCAAGCTCCGCGTCATGGCTCCTGGCGAGGTGGCAGTACTCGTGTGAGGCTGCTGCACTCTCCGCCACCTCCCCATCTAACTCCTCATCCACCGCATCTGTGGATCAAGGGGCGGAAGCAAGCAGCAGGCGCACGCAGACACAGGGGAGAAGTAGAGTTATGGGGAAAGAAGAGGCAGGAACGAGATGGCACTGCTGCCCTCTCTGCTGCTTTGCATCCCAGTCTAGCATCTGCAGAGGACGGAAACACCTGCATGTTCATGCTGCAAATGTGGTCAGACTACTCGTGCAGCACACACCACACCACCGCCCATGCACCACGCACCTGCGCCGTCGCCAGTTTAGAGTACTTTAGCCAGTTTGCTTCATTTCCGAGCTTCAGTTTCAGGCTTGTACTGATGAAGGCTTGAAAAAGCCGAAACTAGTTTGCAATGTCCCTGATCCTTTAGTGAAGATTTGTTTTAAACTGGCGCTCTCAACAACGTTCTAAGCTAAGCACACACCAGGCTCCTTCCGCCATTTCGCATGGAGTTTGTTTCGTTGTCCTAAAACAACACGAGTTGATGGAAGTAAGGCCTCCGCAGCCCACCTGTCTTCTTTTGACAGCTCCCACACCACACCACCGCCCATGCACCACGCACCTGCGCCGTGCAGAGTGAGTGCCTTGAGAGTGCGGAGGTAGAAGCAGGCGGCGCTGGGGAAGGCGGTGAGCAGCGAGGTGAAGTGCATGGAGAAGAGGCGCATGGTGCGCGGGCTGCGCTCCGCTAGTGTCATTAGACGCGCTACCATCTGATAGGGTGAATTGGGGGAGGGAGGAGGGGCAGAGGAGGAGAAGGGGAGCGAGGGAAACGGGGACAATGAGAGCGGGGAGAAGGGGAAAATGGGAGAAGGGAAGAAGGGGAAAAGGGGAGAGGGGGAGGAGAAGGGGAAAACAACAGCGTTATGATGAGGACAGGAAAGAGGACCTCGCAAATAATGGCGATTCTTGGATTATCAGAGAGAGGAAACATGCTGAAAAAATGCTTTCTGTTGCTGAGAGAACTCCCCTCAAGAAGCCTTGTGCACCCACACGAGCAAGAGGACTCACTCAGGAACAAAGACCAGGGAAACGTACCCACTGCAGAGGAGGCTCAATGCCAGAAGAAGCAAGGCCTTCCACCCCCTCCGCCCCTCCACCACCATTACCACCACCACTACCATCATCTCTGGAAGCATCCGCATTACCACCTCCCTCAGCAGGTTGTGGGTCGAAAGAGTGCATGCACGGCAGGGAGAAGAGAGCCGGGTGGAAGACGGCAGAGAGGAAGGCTGCTACTGGAGCCACCCTGCGCTTCTGCCCATCCTCCACTGCCCTCCATGCTGATGTTACTAGCCGCCATGTGACCTGTTGGTATGGGGCAGGGAAGCGGGGAGGATGGGGGATGCGGGCAGAGGAGAGGAGAGGAGGGGAGAGGGGATGATGAGTGGAGAGGAGTGGGGAGAGGAGCTGGGGAGAGCAGAAGGGAAGGAGAGAGAAGGGAAGGGAAGGGAGGAGAGGGGAAGGGAACAGAGGGGAAGGCATGGGAGAAGTAAAAACGAGGTGGTGAGAGACAGAAGACATCCTACATGGCAGAATTTTAGGTAGCCTGGTCGCTCGCCCCTGCAACCTGGGCGGTGGCTTGCTTAACCAACCAGCAATATGCCTCCCAGCAGCACCGCACAGTACCGGAATGGAACTCCTCCCACTGACCTCGACTCGTTGGGGGTCAGACTGGAAAGTATCGAGCACGCGCAGGGAGAGAAGGGAGCGGAGGGCGCGGAAGAGTGGCAGGAACTGCTGCTCCTCCAGACCCTCAAGGCTGCATGCCGTGGATGGCATGGTGGAGTGGAAGGGTGAGGGAGAGAAGAATTGAGTGGAATGGGGGGGGGGGGGGGTGGGGTTGGTGGTAAAGTAGCTCATCAAAACGTCTCTAATTTCTGCAGACGATGGAAGCAGGGGGAATGCTGGTTCTTTTTTTTGGGCGCCTAGAAAATTATTCCCGTAGAAGTTTCAGGAGGAAAAGAGGGGAATGTTGGATGAAAGAAATGTTAGCACAGCAAAAGGAAAGAAAGCAGGCTGGCACTTTGACACATGAGCCACGAACAATTGAAGAGTGACGTGAGAAGCCAGAAGCGTAAAGTGCAAATGGAAGATGCCGTTTGGCACTTCACGAGGGTCGTGTTTTGTCAAGTGCTGCCAGTGCACCTGGCAGGCATGCGGCAGCTATCAGCAGCTGACTCCGGCACGAATCTCCAGCACGAAGTGCCAGAACTTATTACCAAGCAGGCAGCATCAAGGCCACCCACCTATCCGCAGCATCTTCAAGCAGTGCCTGCTGTACCGAAACCATCCTCTCCCTCTCCTCCCCACCCTCCACCGCCACCACTCCTGACGAGCCGTTGCCAGCAGCATGGAGCAGCAGGGCAGCGCACAGGAGTCCATCTACACAGTCCCACTTCACCTCCAGCAGCCGCGCCATTCTGCTGCGCGCCACTCCCCCGCCACTCCTGCCCGCTGCCCCTGCCACCACCACCACCGCCTCTAACAACCACAGCACCCCCGCCCCTCCCGCCCCTCCTGCCCCTACCGCCGCTCCACTCTCCCCTCCTGCCGCTCCTCTCCCCTCGCCTCCTGCCCCTCCTGCTCCTCCTCCTGTCCCCTCCTCGCTTTCCTGCAGTGGCTGCTGTTGCTGCTGCTGTGACGGCAGTGCTGCAATGGCGCCCATGGCAAGTAGATGGCACACTGGCTGTAGCAGCTCCAGACAGCCCAGCAGTAGCTCTGCCTCCACCTGGTATTGGTGTTGATGGTAGTGGGGAATATGGGGTGAATGATGGTGGTGACATGGAGTGGGCAATGGTGGTCGTGGGATGGAGGGAAGATAACAAGGCCACAGCAGGCATACAATCGGCGACACATGAAACTTTCAGAGTGCATGGCACGTCGCACATGGTGGTGTGGTGCATGACACATGGCGCACCACATGGCATGGCACACACGACACACAGCACAGAGAAAAGGTAACATCCATGACCACACAAAGCCCAGAATCCCCATCACACAAAGCCCAGAATCCCCATCACACAAAGCCCAGAATCCCCATCACACAAAGCCCAGAATCCCCATCACACAAAGCCCAGAATTCCCATCACACAAAGCCCAGAATCCCCATCACACAAAGCCCAGAATCCCCATCACACAAAGCCCAGAATCCCCATCACACAAAGCCCAGAATCCCCATCACACAAAGCCCAGAATCCCCATCACACAAAGCCCAGAATCCCCATCACACAAAGCCCAGAATCCCCATCACACAAAGCCCAGAATCCCCATCACACAAAGTAACTCGTAATCCCTCGGTGTACCAACAGACTCACCTCAGTATGCGGCCACTTGCTCTTGTGACACAGCTCCAGAGAGCTCCCGACACAGCCACCCACCCACGCACGAATGCTCCCCTCCACTCCCGCAAGCCACGACAGGTCACTCGCATGAGGCTTCACGCCTGCTCCATCCTCTTCTCTTGCACCCATGAGGCTCATGTCCGCTTGCTTGTGCATGTGTGCCCATCTAGCAGCCGCCGCAAAGCAGCGCACCAGATTAACCTGTGGATGCGATGTGAGGTGGTGACATGGGGCATGGAAGGCCTGGTTTTTGAGATGATATTGCAATGTTTGCAGTCATGGTGCCACTGCCTTTCACACGCGGAAGCAGAAAAGGAGATGTTTCGAGCTTGGCTGGAAGCAGAGGAAGGAATCTTGCATGAGACAAGGAAGCTGAGGAAGATGAGAGGATAGGAAGGAAGGCATCTGGGGCAGAGGGCGGAGGAGGAATAGGCCTGTATTGATAGAAAGTTCGGCAGGAGCAGAAGCAGAATTAAAAGCAGGTATTAGCAGCACTGACCGCTCGCAGCACAGCAGAGCCAGTGGTGAGAGGCAGGCGGCGCAGAGTGGGGCCTCCGAGCTTCCCCCGCACTGCGGCTGGTAGAGGTGCTGAGGAGGTGGCTAACAAGGCTAATTGATCCCGGGTGGAGAAGAGGAACTGATCTTGGGAGGCCAAAGCAGTGAGAGATGGCTGCAGGTTCGCCGTCCATGCATGCACCCAAGGGTCGAAACCATACGACCAAGAAGTAACGGGTAGAGTGAAAAGAGGGGGAAACAGAGAGAGAGAATGACAACAGGAAAGGGAATAAAAACGACTGGTGTAGGAGTTTGTTGCATCGGCGATTGCATTGCAACCCAAGCGCACAAATCATCTAAACAGTAAGGAGCAAACTGAACACGAGCCTAGAATCTGCTCTCAAGACTGCAGATGGACACAAAGACAAGTTCCTGAAAAACAACAAATGACAAATAGAAAACAAAAATGAAGGCCTTCGTACAATGACCAGCGAAAGAAGCTCCAGCAAGGCGCTTCTTGAAGCCACCATCATCTGCCTTGCACATGCACTACTGCTCAAGTCACTGCCGCTGCTGCTGCTGCTGCTGTTGATACTGCTGACGGTGCTTTTGTCAGCAGCTTTCACACAGCCCTTCCAATAGCGTTCTGCCACGTCATACTGCTCCAGCAGCGCCTGAAGGAGAACAAGCAGCCTCTGCCTGCCACCTGGCGGCATGTGAGTGGCCAGGAGATCTGAAAAGAGCCCCTGCAGATCCTGCAAGGTGAAGAACAGAGGAGACGCACAAAGGGGAGGAGAGCAGGAAGGTTGGGTGAGGAGCAACGGCAGCAGCGAGACCAAATGAGAGAGAAAGTGTTACTGCAGCCACAGCTTTAATTGGCACACACTATTGTGAATCAGCACACACACTTTTGAGACGTCTGAAAGATCAGCACACGCGCGTATAGCACAGCCCAGCGACGTGACACCGTCTTAATCAGCACACAGACATTTGAGACGCACACAGCAGGCGCGCAGAGCAGCTCTCAACTCACCTTCCCTGCTGCTGCAAGCACGTTGGGAGAAGGCATGGCGGCTAGCAGCACGAGACAGCAGCGAGCAGAGGCAGCATGCCACGACGCCAGATCACTGTCAGATATCAACTCCACCAACCTCTCATCCTCCACCTCCTCCCCTTGCCCACCTCTCCTTTCCTCCCCTTTCCTCCCGCCATAGTCCTCTGTTTCTGTCCCGCCCAGCTCTTCTTGGGACTGCAGCAGCAGCAGCAGCGCTTCCTCCTTTTCCTCCTCACCAGCAGTCTTCCCCAGGACAAAGAAGCGCAATGCAGTGATTAGCCGCTGTGCCAGGTGGCAGCTGGAATTTGGCTGCGGTTCCGTCAGCAAAGGTTCAGACAGTCCGTTGAAAGAGGGGCTTCCAGAAGAGGCAGCACTACTGGTACTGGTGGAAACACTGCTGGTGGTGGTGGCGCTGGTGACACTGCTGGCAGTGGTGATACTGGCAGTGCCAGTTTGTGTCGGGTGGGTGCTAGGCACGTGGGTGGATGGTTGCGGTGTGTGCAGCCAGCTCACAATGGTTGATCGCACAGATGCTGCATGATTCAAGGAGCCCAATGGAACCAACGGAAAGAGAACAAGTGGATGAGAGGAGGGAGTGGGGGAAAGAGAGGTGGACCGATTTGTACTACAGCAAGGGCTGAAGGGACAACAAGCGTTGTGATTGATGTGTGGATTACAAAAAGGAGACTGCAAAGTGTGCAAATACGTACAGTCGAGAAGAGGAGAGTGCAGAGTGCAGTACATGACAACCATAAAAAAACGCAAGAAGCATAAAGGCGCACGCGACAACGGAAAGAACCAATAGGATGACGAAGAGGGGCAGTGTAGGAAGAGCAGAAGGTGTGTACCTGTGGAGAGCAAGCCTTGGTGGGGCATGATGCAGAGGAGGCGGAGGAGGAGAGGCGTGGAGAGGTGCGAGGCTGACACCGATGCTGTCACTGCTGCAAACACGTGCGTGGATACTGTTGTTGCAGGCGCAAAGCGCAGGGGAGGGGGGGAGGAGGGGTGGGTGATAACGGAGAAGGCTGTTGAACCAACCCGAACAACAATACATGGTACGACAACAATACCATGTAATGTTGTTCACCACGGTATGACATAATGATCAACTTGTGTATAATGATCACCACGGTATGACATAATGATCAACTTGTGTACGACAAAAGGAGAGAGCTGGAACCAGAAACTTGAAAATAATGAAGAAGAAGGCTCACAAAAGGCAGATCCAGAAAGAGGGCACCGAAAAAATGCGTGGAAAACAGCCAAAAAGAGGAGTGAGAGAACGGGCATATCATCCCCTATTCATTTGAGCAACTCAAAAAGCATCTCCTCTCCTTTCCTCTTTCCACCTTTGAGCCGGAAGGCCGGGTTGAAGTGTCTCCGTGCCATCTCCAGCACTTGACAGAACAGCAGTGCCAACTGCACCTCCAGCTCCACGCCCTCGCCCGTCCTCCTCTCCTCCAAACAGCCCACCAAATCTTGCAAGTAACCCAAATTTTCCTGTGATAACGCCTCCTCCCCAACCTTCCCCTCCGTCCCCTCACTCCCCTGCACCCCCCCGCCCCCTTCTCCTGTCTCTGCGGTGCCTTGTGCCATGTGTCTGGCACTGAGAAAGCTACTGGGCGCAGCGGCACCATGGATGCACATGGCGCATGTCATGTGGCCTATGCGTCCGGGCATGATGCTAATCATGCTGGACAGCAGGCGCTGCAGGAGGAGCGGACGAGCTCTGATTGAGAGTACAGGGGATGAGGAGTGGGGGGGTTGGGAAGAGGGACGGAGGTTGGAGAGTGATGCGAGCTGCGATTTCATTTCTCTTCCTGTCCTCTTCCTGGTGATTCCAGTGGAGAGAAGAAGACGAACAGGAAGAGGACGACCACTGAAATGCAAATGGCAATGGCAATGGCAGCAGCTGCAGAGAGGTGGGCAAAAGACGCATGCAGCAGAGGTACCATGCAGCAGAGGTACCATGCAGCAGAGGTGCCATGCAGCAGAGGTACCATGCAGCAGAGATACCATGCAGCAGCTTACCGAGCTGGGAGAGGGGCCAAAAGTTACATTTGAGTCTAACTCAGAATTCACCTGGCAGAGATGCATGGGGCAGGGGTACCATGCAGCAGCATACCGGGCTGGGAGAGAGGCCGAGAGTTGGGCAAAGATGCATGCGGCTGCTTCAGCAACTGTGGACGAGTATCGATCCCTGATGCCTGCAGGGAGAGGTGGAAACAGCGACACAGGGAAGAAACCCCTTTTTACTGAAAAGGGAAAGAGAGAGAGGGAGACGGGATGGGTGGCTGGAAAAGGTAACTCTCTGCAGAAAGCAGAAACATTTGCGAGGTTTTTTGGGGAAGAGGAGGGGGGAGTCTGTTTTTTTCTGGTGAGAATCCTAAGTGGACGACAGCTGGTGGGAGGGTAAGGTGGAAGAGGGGTGGAGAAGCAGACAACGCGAGGATGAAGATGGATGGTGTACTGAAATCTGGATGGCATGAGGGGTTATCGAGAGCAGGCAGGAAGACATCCAGCAGGAATGTCAGGGGTAACCGCCCCACTTCCCACTGCTGCTGCTGCTGCTGCTGCTGCTGCCCTCCATCTCCCCTGGTGATTCCTCTTCCAATTTCTGCCGTTTCAATGGGCAGAAGCGTGTCTAAGTCTGCATCTGCCCCTGCCTCTGCCTCTGCGCCTTGCTGAGCCGTGTGCTTGGATGCAGCAGGAGACGAGTCAACATCGCATCCAAAGCAGCGGAGGAAAGACGACATGACCAACCGGCGAACTGGCAGAAGGGAGGTGGGGTGTGAAAAAAGAAGGAAAGAAGGTAAGTGAAAAGAAAGGATCGACGAAGAGGGAGCAAAGAGGCAGGCAAAGATAAGTGGCAGGAACCTAGATGCTACAAACACGTGAAATGGCACGAGACGTTGTGTGCTCTAAGCTGAAGTGTACATCATAGGAAAGTTTATGTATGTATGAGGTAACATGCATTATGGTTACATAAAGGAGTGCGCATGATATATGTGCTAGAGGAGGCGTTTCAAGGGGGGAAAAGGGAGGGAGGGAGGAAGCTGAAAACGAAGCTACAACGTCCGCAGAAACAAGCACCAGGCTGGGAGAAGGCGTAACGATAGGAGGAAGGAGGCGGGGCGGAGGGCAAGACCCACAGCGATGAAGAAGAACGAATGAGAAGGGGACGTGCCTTGAGGGTTGTTGTGCGAGAAGCCTCTAGTCCATGCGATACAGATAAAGGGTAGGTCCACATCGGGCACAGCAGTCCCCCAGGACGACAGAGGAGGAGATAATGTATCCACTGCAGTAGCAGGCGCAGCAGCAGCAGCAGTGCCAGTGCTGGTGCTGGTACCGGTGCTGGAATGATGCGAAGGGGTTGATGAAACTGCAGTGGAGGAGAGCAGGAAGGACATCTGCAGAGTGCAACATGGGTGGCAGGAGGTGTGAGATACAGATTGGCCTGAGGGAGACACAAACGAGTTTAGAGACGTCTCAAACCAGGATCTAGGGTGTCTCGAAATAGGAGAAGCAAGCCAAGCGAGAGAAACATGAGGCAGAGAAGGACAGAGCCATCCAGCCTGTGATAAGAACGCGAGCCTCGTTCTCAGCACTCTGGACATCTGAGGCAAGCAGAGAGGCATGCATGCAGTGCATACAAGCATGCTGTGTGCACGGGCATGTGGAAACAGAGCATGCTGTGTGCACGGGCATGTGGAAACAGAGCATGCTGTGCCATGATGAAACACACCTGTGGGTCCCACACAGCTTCTGACAGATGCACTCCGAATTCGTCCAGAGTGTTGAGCACCAGGCTCAGCGCCTCCCACCGCTCACTCCTCCTCAGCACCTCTTCCAACTCCTCTGCTACCACCCTGGCCTGCTCCTCCCACTGCCTCTCCTTTCGCTCCCGTTCTTCCACTGCTTCTTCTGCACCCTCCGGCCCTTCCTCCACCTGCCGCTGCTGCTGCTGCTGCTGCTGGCCTTGCTGTGTGTCACTCTCGGCCCCATGCCCTGTCCCATCTTCATCCGCATCCCTCTCTTCACCCTTCTCTGCCTCTTCAGTAGCAGCACTGCCGCCCTTCCCATCATGCATGATCCCTATCACCTCCTCCTTCGCCCACCGCTCCCTTTTCATGCTCTGCCCATCCCCCCTTCCCCGTGCCTTTTCCCCGCCCTTCCCACTCTCCGTTCCCCCCTTCCCCTTCCCCTTTCCCCCTTTCCCCTTCCCCTTCCCCTTGCCTTTCCCCCTGCGAGCCGCCCCTGGTTCCTCTACCCCCTTTCCGGGCCCAGTTAGTGCGTGCCTGAGCTGCTGCAACATCCGGCGAATGGGGTCGCAAGCAGGGACGGCTGCTTGGAGGAGGAAAGAGGCTCGCTTGTGAGTGAGACCGTCCTTTGACACCTGGCGGGGTGGGAAACAATGGACAGGAAGGGGGTGGGTGCAAGGGGGGTTAGGGTAGGGGGGGAAATCTGAGACATCTCAAACACTTGAAACCAAGAGGCTCGCTTGTGAGTGAGACCGTCTTTTGACACCGGGCGGGGTGTGAAACAACGGACAGGAAGTGGGGGGGAAGGGGGGTTGTAGGGGGGAGAAAATTGAGACCTTATTAGAACGAGGAGGCTCGCTTGTGAGTGAGACGGTGGAGGGGTGTGAAACGGACGGGAAAAGGGGGGGGAGGGGTGTGGTGTGGGGGGGAGAATATGAAGATATCTTGAAACGAGGAGGCTTGCTTGTGAGTGAGACCGTCCCTGGATAGCTGGCGGGAGTTGAAAACGGACAGGTAGTACCACAGGCACGGCTGCATTTTGGAGCTTTTTAACTAGCATACCAGGCCGAGCCTTAGCAACGGCCACAAGTGCAGCTGGCTTTGGTACGTCTCGTCATTCTCGAGGAACGTACCAGGCCGAGCCTTAGCAGCGCCCACAGCAGAGGTAGCCTCTTGCTGTGTCGATGAGAAACGTACCAGGCCTAGCCGTAGCAGCGCCCACAGGTGCGGCTGGTTCTTAAAACGGCTCAAGAAACGTACCAGGCCGAGCCTTAGCAGCACCCACAGGTGCCGCTGCTGGCGCAGGTCGAAGCGGTGCGACGGGCGAGGTAGCGGCGAGCCGTGGTGGATCGGGGCGGGTGGGAGGAGTATGGGCGGGAGGAGCAGGCGATTGAACAGGACGAGGAGGCTGATAAACTCGGAGAGAAGGGGCGGAGGGAGAGGAGGGAGCAGGGGGGAGGTGCTGACTGACGGGTCTGGCACGGTGGGGGCTTCGGAAGAGATTCCAGCAGCAACAGCAGCGGTGGCGGCAGCAGCGGTGAGAGGCTGTGCAGGGCTGATGAGTTGCTGCAGTGAGCGCCAAACTGCCAGCACGCACTGCTCCCTGCCATGGGAGCGGCACGGACGTATAGTAGTGTGAGTGCAGGTGTGGGTGTGGGAGGGGATTTTCAATGAACATCGACGTTGCGCATGGGGAGAGGGGAGGACGGGGGGCAGAGAGAGGGGAGGGGTGGGAGAAGAGGGGTAAGCAAGGATGGAGGGAGGGGAGAGGAAGGGGAGCTTGGGAGGAGGGCTGAGTGATGACGCCGCGCTTGGGAAGGGAAAGGGGTGGGATAGACTGACACATAGAATGGCGGCACCCACACACGAACACATTTACGCAATACATATACAGACAACCACACACACACACACACACACACACACAAACACACACACACACACAAACACACACACATACACACACACACACACACACACACACACACACACACACACACACCTGCTTTCCCTCCACTCATGCCATGCATCCTCAGCACCTCCCCCCAGCTGCCCACAATCATCCAGCTGCTGCGGGTAATCCACCCCTACTAGTGCATCCACTGCAGCAGGCAGAAGGCGGTCCAGAGCCGTGGCACGCAGGGCAGAGAGGGACGCAGAGGAGGGCGTGGAGGAGGAGGATGAAGACGCGAGGAGGATGAAGGGGAGAGATGCGGAGAGGGTGGCTGTGACAGCACGCTGCAGGGCTCGAAGGGGGGTGATGGGTGGCTGTTGAGTGGAAGGGAGGGCTTGTGAATGCGACGTGCTGAGCGGGAGAGGCGAGGCTGCTGCAGCTGCTGCGTCTGTGGTCTGGGTTGGGGTTGGCGGTGCTGGTACAAGGGTGGAGTTGGAGGAGCGGGAGGAGAGGGAGGAGAGGGAGGACAGGAAGCGGGAGAGGAGAGTGGCGGCAAGGGAGGGAGGGAGGCTGAGGGCCTGGGCGCATGCACAGTGAGGCAGCAGTGGGCGGCCCAGAGGGAACGAATCATTCAAAGAAGAAGCGGAAGTGGAGGAAGAAGTGGAGGGGGTTGTGGCTGGTTTGGGTGTGGTGGATGCTTCGTGGTGGTGGGAGTGCGGCAGGTGGAAGGGAGAGAGGCAGGCGGGGAGGAAGGCCTGCAGGGCGAAGTCCCAGTGAGCGCCATTGATTAGACAGGCCACACATGACTCTATCAGTGCCTGATGGTGGTGGAATGAGGATAGGGTGCAAGGGAGAGTGGGAAACAGACATAAAAAGGTATTTTAGGCGCCTCACTAGGGAGAGAGGCAGGCTGGCAGGAAGGCATGGAGGGCGAAGTCCCAGTGCGCACCATCAACCAGACAGGCCACACATGACTCTATCAGTGCCTGATGGTGGTGGAATGTGAATCAGCAAGGTGCATGGGATAGAGGAAACACGGGGGAGGGGGGAGGAGAGGAGAGGCGGATGATGTGGATTGGGAGCAGACGTACAGTACAGCTCTTTGCTTGCTGGTTCACAAGTGTTTGTGAATAGGGAGTTGGGACGCAGGTGGAGGAAATCATTGCAAGGGATGGTTATGGTGGTCTCCTCTGATTAACTTTGATGCATGATCCGTACCGGACCTTGATCTATGTCAATGAAACGACCATTATATAATAATAATAATAATAATAGTAATAATAATAATAATAATAATAATAATAATAATAATAACAACAGCAACAACAAAAACAACAATAATAATAATAATACTAATAATACTAATAATAATAATAACAATAATAAAAGAGAGCAGAGGAAGAACAAAAAAATAGCACAGCCCCAAAGAGAAGATCCACGGGACGGAGGAGAGGCACCTGAAAGGACTCTGTAGACGCAGACTGCTTTCCACATGCCTCCTCCTCCTTCGCTGCTGCCCCATGGCTGCTGCTCCTATCAGATTGTGACTGCTGCTGTTGCTGCAGCTGCTGCTGCTGCTGCAGGTAATGGTGGTGTTGGAGCGATGGCAGCACGCACCGGCATATGAGTGCGTGCAGGTGGGCCGCCTGTTGGGCTGCCCCAGCACAACACAGTGATTTTGGGGGGAGATGTGGTGCGGTAAGTGTGCGAGACAGAGGAGAGGAGACAGAGAAGACATATGTTAAATCAGAGCTGAGGGGTGCTCATCCGTCATTTGCAGAGAAGAGCAACATCCCTCTTTCTTATTGAATCCCCTCACCCCATCAAAACCGCTCCAAAGCCCCTCACACGTCCTCACATGCACCTGTTTCTCTCAACTGAATTCCGTCTACCTCCAAGCATCCCTCTATCTCCCTCCTCCCCTCCCTCCTCACCTCCTTCTCTACCTCCCTCCTCCCCTCTCTCCTCCCCTCCCTCCTCACTTCCCTCCTCACCTCCCTCCTCACCTCCCTCCTCACTTCCCTCCTCACCTCCCTCCTCACCTCCCTCCTCACCCCCCTCCTCACCTTGTGGCAGCCCCTGCAACAGCTGGCATGCAACAAACGCCCGCGTCAGCCCCTTCCCGTCCTCCGCCGCACCCGACCCACCCTCCCTCTCACGCAATTTCTCCTCTCCTTCATCCTCTACCTTAAACCCTGCTTCCCGAGCATCTCCGGGCGTGGACGTCTTGAGTTGTGGGAACATGGAGAGGAGGGGGGCATGGACAAAAGGAAGTGGAATATGGGGAGAATGCGAGGGGTGTGTTGACACGCACGAGAGTGGCCAGTGCAAATCTGTGAGGGTTTTGCCAGGGTTGAAGGTATAACGTTTAAGCATTACGTAGAAGGATAGTCACCATTCTCGCACAGTTTAACAACCCTAATATCCGCGCAATACTGTAAGTACTGAGAAACAGGCTCCACGTGTTGAGCTAACACACATGGTGTAACACATTCCCCACCTCGCCCAAAAGCGCGCACAGCAGCTGTTGCGGCTCGACTCCGCACGCCGCAATCACTGCGGCTGTGACGGCCGCCGCGAGCGAACGTGCTGCGGATGCCGTTGCGCCGTCGCCACGAGACGAATTCCATAGTAAGCCCTGCAGCTGCTCTACCAGGCGATCTGCGCTTGCCCGTGCTGGTGCTGCTGCCGCTTCCGTGACAATTGCGGGAGCGGACATTACAAGAAAGATACGGCTTTCCGTCTATCTGGAATCGGTAGCAGTTGGCTCAAACACCGAAGGGAAGTGGCTTTTGAGGCGCCTCAAAAGTTGGCTCGCCTTCCCCTTCCGCTTGGGCTGAGAATAGATGACATTCCTGGTTGGAGACCTGTGCATGAAAGAACAGCGCTATAATCAGGCAAACATTTCAATTTGTAGTGAATGATATTAAATACAATTGTTACGGGTGCAATGAACCGAAGCAGCGAGAATTGCACTAAGGTGTCAAACGAGTACAAAATGTGAGCGAAGGCATGAGCGAACATTTATACGCGAAGCTGGCAAACGGTAACGCGGTGCGTGCGAACTTGCTTGTGCTACGCTGGAGGCGAGGCTCGGGCTGGTCCCGAAGCGTAGGCCGACACGGCCAGGCCAGCAGTGCGAGGTTTGGTGAAACAGTGCGCGCGAAGTCGGCGAAGCCCCGTTAGCAGTAACGGGCGAACAATGGCTGCTGCTGTACGTGATGTTGCAGGGCGCGCTAAGGAATATCGAGAAAATTCCTTACACGACCCCCCCCCCCCTCAAGAGGCCCCCTCCGCTACGCGAGTGCGTGTATATCGCGGAAACCCCGGCTCCTCAGGTACACTTGCAGGGCAGGGTGGTTTTTTATGTTGGCCAGAGGCACCCAGCTATCCTCAGTTGGCGTGCGGTCCTTCTAGCGAACGAGGAATTCAATCCTCCTGATTCCCGTGGGGTGTCGAATCCAACGGCTCATGATTTTTTCGGGCTCGATGATCGGCTCCGATGCAGGGCGAGTCATGGATGGCGGGCGGTGACGTGGAATGAAGGGCTTATGTACCAACCCGTCGGCAACAGTAGGTGGGCTATCACCGGGGTAATGATGCAGCTGATTTGGAAAGGTCCACAGTAGCGTGGTCGTAATTTCGGTACGACGGGCAATCTTAAGATTCTGTGTGTCGAGCAGTACATACCGTATGGCCCCGGATATAGACGCCGGCCTATTACAGGCGCCGGCGCTTCTATCTGGAGCATGGCGCTTATGGCCGATCCTCGATTATAAGCGCCACCCCTTTTGTACCCTTCCCTTATTATAAGCGCCACCCTCAATATTAACACTTTTTTTACCACCACAACAAAAGCAAACAACAACTATAACATCGTTCGCTTCAACGAATACTACAAGTTGGTACACAATTTTAGACTTAATCTGCTATTCTACCTAGGTGCTAGTACCGGAACTACTCCTTGTCAGACTCGGGCTCCTGGCTGTTGTTGCCAAAGAATCCGTCGGCGATGATGCCGTCGTCTACATCCACTTCCGCCGTCAGTTGGCTCCGCCTGTGCGCCATGGCGAGGTGGTCCTCACTGCCGTCAAGTGCGTTGCTAATGCCGTAGGTGAGGAAGGCGCGCTTGACGAGGTCGGAGGGTACTGCTTTCCAGGCTTGTGAAATCCATCGAAGGACCACTTCTGGGGGGGGCTTCTTCAGATTCCCTGCACCGCAACAGAGACACCCGGGAAAGCCGTGTCAGCATCCAAGGGTGAAAGGGGGATAAACATGCGTGTTTAACGGAAACAACGTACCTGCAGCTGTCAGTTGCTCTTGGCCCTCCTCCTCAAACCACTTCTAGTACTGCTGACGAACAGATGCTTTGAAGCTCTTGTTGATGGAGACGTCGAGCTGCTGAACCTCACTCGTACAGCCCGACGGGATGACAGCAGGCACGCAGTTGATGTCGCGGAGCTTCTCATTCACCCCCTCGGTAAGGTGGCCGCGGTAGGAATCCAGCACGAGCATGGAGCTCTTTGCACACCTGCCAAATCGGGGCTTCAAGAAGAGCTTGACACACTCCTCAAGCCAGTGGATGACGCCTTCTGCGTTCATCCTGTCAAAGTTAAGGAGTAGAAAATGAGAATGAAGAAAGAGAGAGTTCACTAGCAAGCAGTTGGATACAAATAGCAAACCCTAACTGGGTTGTATTCGCTATGGAGCACCCCACTGCAGGCTAGATAACATAACATTCTGACACATCCACCCGTTCTCGTGGCAAGCCACGACCACATCTGCACACACAAATGGCACTTAAACTGTTAGCGCGGCATGAGAAAGAATAAGATACGGTAAGACAGCGGCATTTGCTACTTATTACCAGGAGGAAAGTTGCCCTTCGGCAGCGTCTTCCGCTTGAAAAATACCCATGGCTTGAGCTTCGCCCCGTCCGCCGTGCACGCCATTATCACGGTCACACGCTCCTTCTGGTAACCTGCACTCCGGATGGGCACCGACCGTACGCCCGTCTGATCCACGGTCGTGGTGGCGGGCATCTCCAGCCAGAGCGGCGTGTGGTCAGCGTTGAGGATCCAGCAGGTCTCGATGCCGCGCGCGCGACGCATGTCTCGGACAAAACGCCAGAATTTCTGGCACTGCTCCGCAAGATCTGTGAGACGGGGGAAAAGCGGGCGGGATAGACGGCAGTTTAGTAAGGGAACCTGAAACTTAGACATAAAAGCAAGGGGCGTAATCTTACGAGCGGCTGTTTTCTGAGCAACCCGCGTCTTCATGCGGACGCTCAGATTCCACCGCTTCCGAAACCGCTCCGACCATCTCTGACTCCCGCTCCACTTGTCGTCCAGGTAGAGGATCTTCATGAACTCCCTCGATCACTCCCGCAGACGGCCGACCGACACGGTGGTTCCTTTGCGGCGCCAGTCCAGGAGCCGCTCGTACACCTTCAACTCCATGGGGCGGTACCACGAGGCCCGCCCGCGACCGTGCATGCGCTTCCGCCCGGAGTGTGATTCTTTGAGAAACCCCGCTGCCACCTTCCAGTTGGCGAGACACTTCCGTTGAATCCCACACTATCGAGCTAGTGCGCGCACCGACTTCGCCACATCCAGCATCGCGACGTACTTCAACTTCTCCGCAGCGGTGTAGCCTTTGCGCTTGTGATCGCTGATCTTGTGCCTGGGAGAGGGGGGGCGGGCATCACGGTTTTGGGTAGACGGGTGGGGTCGCTTGCGGTTAGCTGGTGGAAAGGAAGGTATCGGCAGTTCCTCGGGGAGCCTGTCACGTGACCAGTACTCGACACCGTCGTCGTCGTTGCCACCAGGTATGCCCTCAGGAAGCACATCCTCTGCGGTGCCGCCCTGCGCGCCACCTTCCTCAGCCTCGTCGCCGTCAGCACGGCTCGCTTCCTTGTCCTCAGCCACGTCGTCGTCAGCTCCGAGTGCAGATTCATCCCACGTGGTGCAATCATCGGGCCGGCCCCAACGTGGTCCAGGGTAAGGTGCGCCGGGTACCTCAACATCTGGGGCCTTGTTGCTTTCCGGTTCCTCTAGCCACTCGTCGAACGCAGTCGGATGCAGGAGCGTGAGCACGGGCGGATCCCCTGTGTAATGAGGAGATCCCAGAATCGAAGGAGACGGAGGAACAGGAGGAGCAGGAGGCGCAGGCGGCAAAGGAGGAGCAGGAGGAGCAGGCGGCGCAGGAGGCGCTGGAGGCTGTGGTGGCTCTGGTGGTTCAGCTGGGACACGGGAGTACCATCCGTCGGCGTCGACTACAAAGGCGTGCCTACTCGCGGGCTTCTTCTTGAACATAAAGTATGTGCCTGAGAATTCCGCCATGGCTGTCGCAGCCAGGCGGGCGAAAACAAGAATCGGACTGCCAAAACTGAATGAATCGAGTGCTGAAATGAAAGATTAGCGGGGACCCCTTCTGAGTTGCGGCTTGGGGTCCTCATCGGGGATAGACGGGTGCCCCCCTGCCTGAACCCAGAGAGGAGGGTATCACGGCACGAATCTGCTGCGCTGGCAAGGAGATTCCACCCCCTTGTAGATGGTTCGGGTGTAATGTTGCACCATGGCAGCGCATGACGTTCCTATTGGGCCGCACGCCAGGATGCACATCATCGCTGGCAGGTGCGTTGCTCTAGGACAGGTTCTGTGCGGTGGGAAATCGAGTCGCGGCAGTTTTCGCCGGAATTTCATGCACGATCCCATGCGCAACGTACACAGTTGTGTTCGCCTTATTGTGGGCTTCACTTTAATTCTTCGAAAAACAAAATTGGAATTTGACATTTTATAAGCGCCGGCGCTTATGGCCGTTCCTCAATTACAAGCGCCACCCCTACAAAATCATTACTTATTATAAGCGCATATGCGCTTATATCCGGGGCGAGACGGTAGTCTCCTGACTGGTACGTGACTGGGCGGCGGTGGCGGTCAGCGTTGCGCTTAGCGATTACATTGGATTTTTTAATTGCTTCAGCGGCTCTAGTGCGGGCAGCTTGCAGAATTTCGGCGAATTGCTGTGCTCGTGGCGTGGGGTTGTCCGGACTCGGCGTCATGGGCATTGTAGGATTTTGCCCGTAGTTCAGGTAGAACGGGGACTGCTGCGTCGTCACTGACGTGGCGTTGTTGTACGCGAACTCGATCAGCGGCAGCTGCTGCTCCCAAGTTGTCGGGTCGTCGCACGTGGCACGAATCAACTGCTCCATCGTTTGATTCGTCCGCTCCGTTTGACCGTTGGTCTCGGGGTGGTACGACGAGCTTAACTGTAGCCTGGTCCCGAATTGCTCCCAGAGGTTTTTCCAGAAGTTGCTGGTGAACTTCGTGTCGCGGTTGCTGATTATCACGGCTGGTATCCCGTGCAGTTGAACGACGGCGGCGATGAACAGGCGAGCGGTTTCTTCGGCTGAGATCGATTTCTTGCACGCAGCGAAGTGTGCCATTTTCGTCAGCCTGTCAATGACGACCATAATGTCAGAATAATATATAAACCTATATATTGTTTTGTAACTGCCTGTAGTGTAGACTACTGTAGTTATATAATGTTCTGTTATGGTGGTACACCTTTCATCTTGCCTATTTGTACTGCTCGCTCTATAGTGAAACCCCTCTTTGTTGAAACTTTCTCGACCCTCCTAACCCTACTCACTCGAGCTCGATCTCTACTACTGAACTCACTATGGCTTCTATGCCTTCCTACTAAGAACGTTTCTTC